TCTCTCTATCTCTCTCTCTCTCTCACTCTCTCTCCCTCTCTCTCTTTGCATGTATGTCTCTGTCTCTGTCTCTAGTCTCTGCCTCTCTCTTCCCAGCCTCACTGAGGGAGTCTCAAAGACAGTTTCCCCTCGTCTGGGACATTTAGTTCCTTCTAAGTGTGTCCCTTGGGACGGTTTTGCTTTGCTCAAATGTCTCCTCCCCACCTCCTCTCCCCACCTCCGCCCTTTTTTTTTCTTTCACTATCCTGTCACAACCCCCAACCCCCATCAGACCAAAGGAAATATTGCAACACATTTAGAACCATTCTACACATACCAGCCAACCCCCCCCCCCCTCACAAAACAGCAAAAAACAAACCAAACCAACAAACTTAAAAACAAACAAACAATCAAACCCACACACATACAAAAATCACCCTTCTTAAAAACCCACGGCAGCAAACAACTTCCCAACACTCACTTTCATTTATTTTAGAAATTGAAAAAAAAAAAATTCCCCAAAACAATCTTCCTCTCCCCCACGAATGACCCTTAACCCATGACGAGTCTTCCCACTTGCCAAATCTCTCCCACTCCCGACCACAAACTTCCCCAAAAGACGCGGTCTATGAATTTCAATTTTTAAAGCCCAATTTTCGCCTCCATGATAAAGGAGACGGGGTTATGCTCATCGAATCTGTCAAGAAATGCCAGCCGTCTCGGAAGGGTCAAATTTTCTAAATTACTAATAAGACGCTTAGTTGGGCTCCTGGGGGCTAGATGAGACGGGTGGGGAGGGAGATTGAGAACAGAGATGGTGGGGAGGGTGTTATATGGGAGGGGTGGGAAGGGGGGTGAGGGTGAGAAAAAAAAAGTAAGTTGGGATGGAGGGAGAGGGAGGGGAGGGAAGACTCAGAGAGAGAGAGAGAGAAAGAGAAAAGGAGGGGGTGGGGATGGAAAGAGAAAGCTAGAGAGAGAGAGAGAGAGAGGGAAAGACAGAGAGAGAGAGAGAGAGAGAGAGAGAGAGAGAGAGAGAGAGAGAGGGGGGGGGGGTTGGGGTTGGAAGGGGCAGTAGCGGAGACAATAATCAGCTGGGAGGGATGGAGAGAGGGGAGGTGGGGCAGTGAGAGATTGGACGGTGAGGAGGGAGAAGGCAGGTTCCCAATAATATATTTTATTTTGGTTTCCTCTCTGTTGATGTTTATTTTGTTGACATTAAAATTGATCATGGAAGTTAAAGAGAAGGACCTATAGATAGAGATAGATAGATAGATAGATAGATAGATAGATAGATAGATAGATAGATAGATAGA